ACAAACACAACATCAAGGCTCTGATGTATTTGTTTTAAGAAAGAAAAACAAAAAATTATGTTCCAAAATTAGTAAAATAGGATTTCCCAAAACCGAAGTCTCAGTATCTTTCTACTTTCTAGTATCAAAACTAATAATAATTTATGCCCTTTGGACCGTCAGGTGAAGAATCAATACAGGATTGCCCCAAAGTCTGTAACTTTTTCCCTCGGAAAACAATCGCAGCCACTAGAAGATGGAATTGCAAGGGATTCCCCAAAAGCAGCCAACAATGACATTGCAATGCTTACAAAAGCCATGATCGATGCTGAGCTGGAGAAAATGAAGAGCATGAGTGCTGAGGAAGCTGCCGAGGCTGCCGCCAAAGCAGTCGCCGAAGCTGAAGCCGCAATAGCGGAGGCTGAGGTGGCAGCAAGGGAAGCAGAGGAGGCTGAAGCTGAGGCCGAAGCTGCTCAGTGCTTTGCAGATGCTGCCCAGAAGGCTTTGAATTTCCAAACCCTCCGTGTTTGGTGATGATGATGCCTGGTGAAAATTTCGATCCTTTAAACTTGAGTGCCTATGAATTTTGTATATCACTCATGTGGTTTGCTTTTAGCATGAATGAGAATTACATCCAAAAGAGAATTTTACTCGGGAATAAATAAAAAAAGAAAGAAAGAAAGAAAATTGCATCATGCTACTCTACTTTTTTACTTTACTAATAATACAAATGCAAATTATCATTATATATTTTTCATCTCTTATCCAATCGCGCATAGCATACAATATCCCTGTAGCGATTCTCCTTGCAGAATATGATCATTTGGTGCCCCTTTGTTTCTGGTGGAGTATCTGGCTTGTTATATAAGCAATTTTGCTTGTTTTCTGATAAGTTTTTTTTGTCTCTGATGTCTTTACTTTTTCGGGTTATGTGCAGAAAATAGCTGGTGGGTGTGTAACTTCTGGTTGCGCTTTGTAATGTGGTGGAGCGTTTTTTGAATGGTGTAGTACGGGTTTCCTATTTTGCATACGTGAAAATATGATGTAAGTAAGTTACAGGCTTAAGTGCCAAAGTCAGAATCTTTTATCATCTGGATGATTTACCGTTGGAAGGAAGTTGATCTCTCAGAATTGAGTATACAAACTTTGTTCTTTT